GCGAGAAGAATGCGGAGAGAGGTATGTCGACTAACTGGGGCGAAGGTCTCGGTGAAGTCTCGTCCTTGTTCCTGGTCGACTCCACGCACGACCCAGCGTGCTTTGAACTTCTCGATTGTGCCGTCAGCTTTCGTCTTGATGCGGAAGACCCATTTCCCGGTGAGAATGGTCTTGTTCCGTGCCACGCTTGCGGGAACGACCTTCCAGGTGTTGCGTTCCTCCAGTGCTTTTAATACTCTGTCCATGGCTTCACGCCATTTTTCCCTGTGTTCCCCCCCCAGAGCCTGCTGAACTGTCGCAGGCTCTTTAGGAAGAGTGTTGCCGGCGGTCCCGTGGACTGCGGTGACGAGGCCAAGGATTTGTAGCCCAGTCTGTGAGTATCGAGGGAGTTCTGGATCCTCGGGATAAGCTGCTTCGTCTCCCGCTTCTAGGTCGGGGATGAAATTTGGCCCTATCCTTTCTGCTTCGTTGGTGTTGACTGTCGCAGGTGTTACGTAACCGTTGTCGGCGAAGTGGTAGAAGACTTCGGCGTTGTTACTGTCGCGAGGATTATCTTCATCCATGGGCACATCGACGGAGCAGTACGGGAGAGGTCCGGCTTCCTCCGATGCGTTGTCGACGTTCTGTTCATCCTAGTCTGCTTCGTCCGCTGCTGAGGCGAAGGCTCGGTCACCACGAAAGCCACCTGTGGGGTCGCGATCCTCGTGCAAGTTGGCGAGGTACGTCTGAAGGGTGAGTCGTTCGTAGAAGATCACATCACGTGCTGCTACTGTTTCTTTTGTGTGGACGTCGAAGATTCTCCACGCGTTGTAATTTTTCTCGATGCCGAGGTGTAGTCCCCACTGTGCCCGTTGCGAAAATCTTCCCGCTCGTGCTTCTGGGGGTCGGTACTGTACCATGCACCCAAATACTCGTAACATTTTTGTGCTGCCCTGCTTTCCTGTCCACAGCAGATGCGGTGATGCGTTGTTTGGGAGTGACGACGACGAAAGCAAGTTGTGCAGCATGACAGCATGGTCCATTGCTGCTGGCCACTGGTGGTTGGGTAGCCGCATGCCACGTAGTAGTTTGCGCATGCTGATCTGCAGGGTCCTGTTCATTCTTTCTGCAACACCCTGCTGCTGATGTGCGTAGGGAAGGGAGAGGAGTTGCTTGATCCCCCTTTCCGCCAAGTACTGCTTGAAGCGCTGAGAGGTGTATTCGCCACCTCCGTCTGACTGGAAGCTTTTTAGCTGCGTTCCTGATTCCCTTTCTGCTACCGGTAGCCAAGCGGCGAATGCTGCGAGTGCCATGTCGCGGCTGGGTAGGTTGCGATGCCAGATGTATCGAGTGGCGGCGTCGATGAAGGTAATCGTGTAATTATAGGTTACTTGGCCTGGTTCTCGATTGTAGAGGATGTCGCTGTAGACTTTTTCGAGTGGTGCGTATGCAGGTGCGCTCAGGTTGTGGTGAGAAGAAAAAGGTCGATGTGGTAAGTCGGCCTCGGGGCAGATGAGGCAAGTCCCCCGTGCACGTTGAAGTTCTCAGCCGTCGAGTAGTAGTAGCGAGTCTTTGTCTAGCACTCCTGCTCGTATCGTATTATTTAACACCGTGTTACTTGGATGTCCTGTGCGTGCGTGCCAGATGTCTTCGGAGGCGCGGTGTCCGGGTGAACGTTGATATGCGTCGGAGTTGGAGTAGAAGCTGGCGACGAAGTTGGCGCTGCGGTGGACTTCTCGTTGAGTCGGGTTCAGCTGTTGTGCGGGTGTTGGTGGTGTTTCGTCGACGATGACTGGTGTCGTTGTTCCTGCTGCTGCCGATGTTGTTGCTGCTGCCGATGTTGTCTCTGCTGCTGCCGATGTTGTCTCTGCTGCTGTCGATTGTTGAATTGTTGCTAATGCTCGTGTTCGCTCTGCTTCAGAGATGGTGTGTGAGTACGAGAAGCCTCCTGGACTGAAATCAGGATCGAGGTCCGGAGGGTGTGTCCAGTCGGTAAAGTTGACGATGGCGTCGCTGTCTGCAGTGCCCAGGTCGGGGACGAAGTCAAGAACGAAGACGTTATTCTTCAACATTGCTTTCCCGATGTAGAGGCCGCCCCTCTCGTGGTATAACTTAAATTCCTGGGTGGTGCTGTCGGCTTCCAAGTGAATCCCCTTCGCCATCAGCTGGCTAACACTCAGTAAGTTGTAACCGAGTCCTTCTGCGATGAGTACTTTTGACATGTGTAGTATAACGTTGGTCTCTCTTGATTAAAGCTGAACGACTCCTTGTCGTCTTGTGCGCAGGTTCTGGTTGTTGGCGACCGTGATGACTACTTCTCGCTGGAGTCGATGTTCGCGTTGTACGAAGCGCCCGGAGGAGCACATGTGTTGTCCATAGCAACTATCCAAGAACCAAGTGTCTTGGCCGGACGGTTCGCTTTGAGCGATGGCGGCGTACGTCGGATTCGGCTGGAGTGATTCGCGGCGAGGCGTCCTGTTGTCGAGCTCCTCTTCTGGTGAGTAGTAGGGTGGCGACTTTGTAATGCAGGAATCGTTTATCTTTACCATGCAGTTGACGATGCTTCTTGCTCCTTGTGCAGGTTGTCCAGTTGAAGTCGTTGAAGCTTGGATCGTGGTTATTTGACTTGCTTGCGTTGAAGCAACTTGGGAGCTTGAAGGCCGCAGTTGTCGCTGTGGTGTCGTCTGACAAGACGGGCAATGCGTGCGAGGATGGCCCGAGGTTTTGCAGATGTGGCAGAACGGAGGTACCGTTTTCACTTGCTGTTGGCGATTGTTGTTGCCGTTGTGTCGTCGCTGAGTGTGAAAAGCAAATTCTGGTGCTAAAGCTTTCTTCTTGTGTCTTTCTTCTTGCAGGTCCATATCCTGCTGCTCAGCATGAATTTCGGCGCAGAGTGCCGCTTCGGAGATCCTCCCGTGTGCTCGTAATATGGCGCGAGTGGAGCGCCAGTGGGGGCCGAGACCGCCGATGACCACCGTAACAAAGGCGTCTTCTGAAATTGACCCGCCGCATCGAAGAAGCTTGTCGCGCAGTTCGCGGCAGCGGCTGATATAAGCCAAGCCTTTCTCGCCTGGTTTCATTTCAATCGTTGTCAACTGCGCCATTAACCTGCTTTGGTTTACGCTGTCTGTTGCTTGATACAGGTTCTTCAGGTGGTTGTACGCGAGCTCCGCGGAGTTGCCGTAGCCTCGGTAAGTCCTGATGTTCTGCTGCTGGGTTGGGGTGATGTTCCTCAGCAAAATCGTGTACGCCATCATCGATTGATATGTATACTGCTGCTTCTCATATTGTGTCCCGTTTGTCGGATATGGCAGGGACCCGTCGAAGAAGCCAAGAATCTGTGCTCCTTCCATCATCAGTTCAAACTCGAACGACCAGGTAAAGAAATCTTTGCCGTCGAAAGGCTTTGTCGTTTGTAGTTTTAGGACGTGCGCGAATTGCGATTGGACTTGTAACACGTCCAATGTCCTTTCTTGTCCCGATGCAGGTTGCGGTTGCGGCATGAAGCTGACGGAGCCACGTTGGGGCTCGTACGGCGCAAAGGTAGGCTGCTGTTGTTGTTGTTGCATCCCCGTGCATAGGATGAGCCGTCGAGGCTCATCGGAGTAACATTGTTGTTGTTGTTGTTGTTGTTTGACTGCGCAGGCACTCCTTGCTGGTGTTGCTCGTAGAAGGACATGAAGGAGAAAAATTTATCCATCATGTTTGAATCGAAGCATGCTGGTGTTTCCGTGGACCTAGCTGCTGGTCTTGCGGTAGTGCCTTCCTCTATCTGTAGGCCAGAGGCAGGAGGTGGAGTAGGAGTAGTGCCTGGGGAGCCGTTGGAGGAGCTCCTCTCCTTCCTTGCAGACATGTCTTCTTTCTTTGTATTTAAGTATTGAGAGAGAAAATGATCTTAAACTCTAACTGCTCTCATACCATGTTGGGCTGAGAAGCCCTAGGATCTTTGTAGAGTTTAAGGACTGAGTAGGATTGTAATAGCGGAAGCGTTGTAATACAGAGTGGTTGAACCACCTTGCACTAGTATGTGAGAGCAAAGTAAGTTGGATTAAACAAGCAAATACAAGGTTTATATAAGAGTACAAGGAATACGAATAGATAGATTTAAACCGTTTTACTGTTGCGATTCGATACAGTGCGACTCGGGCAACCGCTCAATGTCGAGTCAGTTGTGTGTCCTTGCTGTCGCGCTGTATTGGTCAAGTCAAAGGTCGCTGACCTTTGACCTTCGCGTAACCTCCAGGCGGTTACCCCAACCTCCGAGGGTTGACTCGCGATGCTTCGATTTGGACTGCTTCGCTAGTGTCCTGAGTTTCGACACGACAGAGGCGCCTTAAGACTTATTGTTCCCAACAGTTTTCAAGTGCAAAGGTTCGATCTCAGGCCACCATTATCATCAGCTTGGGTTGGGAACACCTCAGTAGATACTCCAAAGAGAAACTTCCTTGCAAGAGGGAACGCACAGTTGTGGAACCCTGAAATCCGAGAGGATGCTGCAGAGGGGAATGACATGTGAAGAGCATCTAAAACAGGCTTGCTAAGTTTGACCACACCATGACATGACAAGCCAGCAGCATATACCGAAGTCCCTCCCAGTGTAAGCAGTCACGACTCACAAACATTGTCTCAGTGTTCCACACCACAGCTGTGCTGCTCCTGCGCGCGACATCTGTTACAGCATGCTACATTCAGGCATTCACACAGCTCCTCGTCCCTGCAACTCCTAGGCACCGTGCCAGTATCTGGAAAGAGTGCACTATAATGCCCGTTTGTTTCATTACAAGCCTACTTACAGCTTAAGTACACTACCACACCGGCTGCCCTGAAAGCACCTCTGGATCAGCACCAGGTGCGAGGTGGGGTGAGGTGACTCTGTGTCATGAATCTCACGAGTCATTCCCTCCTCGGAACCTCTCTTCTGTTCCCAACTTCCCACCCACCCTCCCTCTCCCCCATGCAACGCAACCCTCCAACATGTGGCACATGGCACTTGGCACGTAACACTCAGTGCCTAGCGCTGGTCATTGCATGTTGTCAAGTGACTTGCGCACACACTGCCTCACTCTCCTGCAAGCAACACACGTGTGGCAAGGCGAGGTGCAGAGAGGAGAGTTTTGAGGTGCCTAAAAACTCGTTTCGAATAAAAACGCATGTGGCAAAGCGAGATACAGAAAAAGGGCAGTTAGAGGAGATGCCAAGACAGAGAGGATGTGGGCAGAACAAGAGCATGAGGATCGAGTGCAAGGACATTTCACACGCTCTGAGCAGGAACATAACGGACACTAGTAATTGAAGCACAAGCAGCAGCGGCAGCAGCAGCAGCAACAGCGGCGGCGGCGGCGGCGGCGGCAGCAGCAGCAGCAACAGCGGCGGCGGCGGCGGCAGCAGCAGCAGCAACAGCGGCGGCGGCGGCGGCGGCGGCAGCAGCAGCAGCAGCAGCCCACCTGTTGTAGGCAAGAATGTCATTGGAAAACAGCTGAGCAGCGTCGGCGTTTGCAGGGCTGGAGGGATTGGGGTCTGTGAGCAATGACTGCGGGGCAAGAAGAACAAGAAGTGGAGGGTTTCGAAAGGAGGGGTACGAGATGTCTCAGATTGTCAAGATTTGGAAGAGATGAGGAGACAAATAGGGATTGGGGTCTGTGAGCAGTGAGTGCGAGACGAGTGGGAGGGAGGGGAGGAGGTGAAAAGGGAGGCAACAGATAATGCAAGCAGTGTGAGCGTGAGTGAGTGGTGCAGGGGGACCGAAGCACAGCATGACACGTCAGAAGGAAACCACGCCAAGAAGGAACTGTAGGGAGGGAGTAGGGAGGTGCAGCAGCAGCAGTAGCGCAGCAGCAGCAGTCACCTGGATGGAGGTGAGGATGGTGCAGATGTTGTGGCATGGTGACCACGCGTCCTGAATGATGTCCATGCAAAGAGTCCCGTCGTTGTACACTGCACGTAAAATTAATAAATGGGAGGGAAAAAAAAAAAAAAAAAAAAAAAAAAACAGTCACCAGCAACCAGAAACCATGGGTTGTAGGGACGTGTGAGACGTGTGGGAAAGTATCTGAGCCGCCTTTGTGAGCGACCATTCAACATGGATGATACCCATGCACCGCATGCCATTGTTGGTCAGTACAAGTGAGCAGGAAAAAAAAACCAGGAACCAGAAACCAGGGTCCAGGAACCAGGAACCAGGGGCGTGTGTGTGTGTGCTATTTTCCTTGAGTGCATGTGCATCAGAAACCCAAGACCAGGTTCTAAATGATGCGACAAGGATTTGAAACCAGAAACCAGGGGCGTGTGGGAAAGGCAGTGCATAGGAGAGGAAGTGGTGGGAAGTGGGAGGGTGGGGATGAGGAGCGGCGCGGGGGCATGCGATTGGTACCAAGATCAAAGGTTGCATGCACCAAAACATGGAGGGTTAAGGCGAGGCAGGTGAGGGGGAGAGTGGGGGGGGGGGGGAGAGGAGGAGAGAGAGGAAGGGAGACCTCAGTCACTGATGGGGGGGGAGAGGGCAATCACCATTGGGGTGGAAGACTTCAGTGGTGAATCGCACACGAGGGGGCTTCTCAGGATACTGCTCGCTGAATATGAGTCGCAGCGAGAAGATGCCGCCTGGAGAGGGGTGCGGGAAAGTGGTGGGAGAGAGGGTGGGGTGAGTGAGTGAGTGAATGTGTGTGTGTGTGTGAATGAGTGAGTGTGTGTGTATGTGTGTGTGCGTGAGTGCGAGAGAGAGAGAGAGAGAGATCCCGATCAGGTGAGAGAGGAGAAAATAGGGAAAGCGGGTGGGTGGGTTGGAGAGGGGGGGAGGGGGGAGGTAGAGGCGTGGGAGGGAGGAGCAGCGGGGAGGAGTGCCAAATAATTATGACAGAATTCATCAACCAAACCACAATGCCAGGGTTTTCCAAAAAAATAAAATGATTCACAACAGCAGCAGCAGCAGCAGAAGGAACACTGCAACACGATTGCTCACCCTCCCAAGGCGACTCGTCTGGGCCGAAAATGGTGGCGCTCCACACAAAGAGATTCTCCTCGCTCTGAGGACTCGCACTGCATCCCTGGTGTGGTACAGTGCAGTGCGGTACAGTGGGGTGTGGAGTGTTGTGGATAGAGAGGCTGAAACGACCAGGTGGAGAACGCGGAGCAGATTCGCTTGCACTACAATCGTTTGAGCGCCTAAAACATGGTCTCAGAAAATGAAAAAATGTATATTTTTCTGAAGCATGCGCCTATAACGAGTTTGCTTGCACGCGAAGGAAAGCGTTTGTTAAAGGTTTGAATGACGAGATTCACTGGCAGCACGCCGACACTCACGCGGAAAGGCCACGTGTGCACACGTGCAAACACGAATCTGCACACGGAACGCCTACCCACATGACCACATATCGAAACAGAGCGCGCGCTTTCGCGCACGCGGACACCCTCCCACGAACGAAACACTGAGGTGCGTAGATACGGGACTTTAGTCTTCAAGCGCCGCAAAAACCGAACGAAGGTTGACAAACCAGAGGGAAGAGAACAGTTGCAGAAGGCAGATAGACACGCAGGAACGGCGAGAGAACGAGGGAGAAAGGGAAGACGGGGAAAGATGGAGGACGATAGGGAGAGAGGGAGAGAAAGCGAGCGGCGCGGGAAACAGCGAAGGAGGAAGGAAGGAGGATAGACGGACGGACGAGGAAACGGAGGGATAGGAAGAAAGGAAGGAGGATGAACATTCCGCGACGAACCTCAGGAGCGAGTCAAGATTTACACGCACACAGGGACAATTTTTTTAGTGTCTTAAACATACGAACCTCCGGAGGTTCCTGACGAATCGCTTTGAGGTCCGACATAAGTCGGAGCTGCGACGACGACATCATTGCGGCGATGCGACAAGGTGCAAGGCGTGAGAGAGGCGGGGCGCGACAGAGGCGCGAGGGGACAGCAGCGGGGGATAGTGGCACCCAAAGAGTGGGACGAACAACGAAACTTGTGGCGCGGCCAAGTTGTTTCGAGATGGCTCAGCAATACGCCACTACGATGAGAGAAGATCACGCAGACACGCGACGCGACGGAACGACCGACGAGGCAACGTGAGATCTCGTCGTGACTATGTGCAAAAGCGAGGCACGCAACTGGAAACCCTAACCGCGATTACCGAGTCCTGACCCAACGACCTAACTAACTAAGAAACCGCGCGAATTAGTCGAAGACAGCGTAGCGGCAAGAAGCAATGCTGGGGGGTTTGGAATGAGCCACTTAATCAGCACCCTTGAGTCGGCCTTGAGCGAGAGGAGACGCGTAAAGATAAGCCAGCTGTTGTGATAGTAAGAACTGACAGGAAAACCGCAAGCGAAGTCGGTGAAGCGTGTTATGGGAGTGCTGTTCTCTGGAAATACAAGACAGATGTCTGCGGATTTCTGTTTACGTCATGCTACAAGAAGGAGCTGGGGATTTTCGTTCGGAGAAGAGGTGACGATGACGTAAGGAGAAACCACCCTAAGCTAAACCCAGGAGGAACCCTCAAATCATTGCAAGCTTCACTCGCAACTCTCGAGAAAGCACGAGGCTGACACGCAGATGTGTCCTCCTTGCTACGCGTGGCATTTATATCTGATTGCCTACCTGACCAGTTTGCGTCAGCCATGGCGTTTTGAATATGGTGGGAGTTTTGCTTTTATTGACACAGTTCCAGGGCAGTTATCTAAATACCGCAATGAATTAGGTGTGCAGTGTGTTCTTACCTCTCCAGGGCATCCAAAAATAATTCCTGAAATGTGGGCACAGGGTTGTGGGGAAGGTCAGTCGGTCAGTTCCCTAATAAGCGTGACTCAAGGTTTGGAAGTTCTACTAAACACGCTATGCTGGTGTTCAGCAAGAAAGCTAGTTCTGTACCAGGGAGCAAATCCTACAAATTAAGATAAATTAATTGAATTACCAATCAGATACATTTTTAAAGTAAGATAAGATTTATCATTCTCGTGTTCACAAGAAAAAAGCACATAGACTACATTCCGTTCGGGGGATTACTGGTATTATTGCATTTGTAAAAACATTCTCTAGCCACCTCCGACTGCAAAGTAATATAACTGTAAAGGTCGTTTTTGCTCTATTGTCACAGCCTCAACTCTCTTCAAGGTTCATCCTTCCACATGGCGCGCGGTCTGTTCCCGCTCAGGGATTGTCATGGACTACCCTTTCTGTCTCCCAATCAGAGTTTGAAGAGAGTTGGAAGGATGTGTGTCTCCTGCCCTACTGCTGCTGGATCTGCCATTTCTACCTCGCCTTCCTGACTTACCTTCCGCACAACCCAGCATCATAACTTCACACACATCTTTTCTCGCTCCTGGCTACACCTGATTTCCAAGGTGTCTGGATTTCTAAGTGTTAGAACGTGCAGCTGTGTGAGTTAAGTCACGTTTCCGGCGTCGAGCAGTAGCATTCGTATCTTACAACAGCCTCAAGCTGATCCATCCAGTGTTCGCACTGCACTCTTACACCATGCACAAGCACAATACTCCGGTCAACCGCGCAGCTGTACCTGTGCTGGTTGGCCTCTGTCTTCTCTTCGTCATGCTTCTGGCTGGCCGTTTCATATTCGTTGATCGCGAATCTTTCAGTTCCAACGAGCTGAATCTCGATCTCTCCTCGTCTGCGCCCTCCTCTACATCGGGTTCATTAACCTACGTTCATAAGAACGTTCGTCGCCGGGTTGGAACATACCAAGGCATTGAAGCTGCTTTCAAGAATCTCGGAATCTTACCGACTGACCTCATTAAGTTTCCAGGGTCATGTGCCAATAGCAGTACCGACCGGATTGGAGGACGCGGACCTGAGGCAGTTCGGACCCTTGTGCTGGATGAGATCTTTGACGGAGTGAGCCCATTCGAGGATTTCCCATCTGAAGCCGTCCGTCCGCTGCTGAAAAAGCGCATGCGCCTCCGCGGTTGGGGATCCAACAATTCTGTTTTTGAAAGGCTTATTCAGGAGGTCCGACCCCACTTGATCATTGAAGTCGGCTCATTCTTAGGCGCCTCTGCTATCAACATGGCTTCTAAGGCTCAGGAGCTGGGTCTCGATCCCATCACAATTTTATGCCTCGACGACTTCCGCGGTTGGCCCGGCTTCCGCAACTCCTTCCGCCAAATAAAGCACGTTAACGGAGACGCTGTGTTGCTGCAGTATTTCATGAAGAATGTTGTTGAAGCTGGTCAGGAGAAGGTGATCCTCCCACTGCCGTTTTCCACTGCTCACTCGCTCAAAGCCCTGTGTGACTGGGGCGTTCAGGCAGACTTGGTGGAGGTAGACGCAGGCCATGATTTTCACTCTGCCTGGTTGGATATTAATCTCGCGTACCGGTTACTGAGGCCAGGAGGGGTTATGTTTGGACACGACTACTTCAGCAAGGCAGACAACTCCGGAGTTCGGAGAGCAATCACTCTGTTCGCTACGCTTAGAGGAATGTGGGTGGAGCCTGATGGGGAGCATTGGATTCTGCGGCATGGACCTGCTCCACCTGGTATGGCTACCGCGCAGGGTGCCAGCGTTTCTGGGACAGAAGCAGATGTAACCAAGGAGGAAGAGGACAATGAAAACTAGTCGTTTATTACCATCTATTCTAGGCTGAAAGAGGGCCTCAGATTGGTTTCAGGCTAGGCTGAAAGATCAGAGTTGGTACCAAATTCTATGCTGAAAATCAGAGAAATCAGCCCACTTTATGCCATTTTACACTACAAATATAGTAGGGAAATCCTGTTTCTTCCCACAAAATTGCTGGAAAATCAGCCTAGATTCTGAAATGTTGGGAACAAACAATCTTAAGCGCCTCTGTCGTGTCGAAACACCAAGGCACAAGCGAAGCAGAGCATATCGAGGCACCAACGAGTCAACCCTCGGAGGTTGATGTAACCGCTGGAGGTTACGCGAAAGTCAAAGGTCAGTGACCTTTGACCTGACAAATGCAGCGCGCCAGCAAGGACACACATTGAGCAGTTGCCCGAGTCGCACTGTATCGAACCGCTACAGCAACAGTTAAGTAGTTATAACTATGTCTCTTCATGTTCTCTGTATTCATATATATAACTTTGTATCTCTTTGCTTTAATCAACTTACTTTGCCCTCACATACCAGCGCAAGGTGGTTCAACGACTTCACTTAAACGCTTCCCCTACAACATCACTTAACTCAGACTTCAACCCTACTAAAGATCCTAGAGGGCACTCAGCCCAACATGAAAAAGGTCTGAAATCTCAAACTTTTTTTACCTAAATCAGCCTTTTTTCGCTGACTTCTGAGGCCAGATCTTCCACTCATCCACACAGCTATTGTGACTTCCAAAAAAGTCAAAGCTTGACCTTATCAATCTTGTTCAAGACTTGAATATCCAGGCGATAACTGGGTTCAAGAAATTACCGGCTTGAATATCCAGGCGATAATTGGGGCTAGCCAATGTGCCATATTGTCGCTGTGGACTCCCTATGTGAGCTATAAATGAATCGCCTATGTTTATTACAAGATGCAAAGAAGGCCTTGCAAGCAACTTTGCAGGGTGTTATTGTTCACCCAGCCCTTATGATTCGATGTTTATAGCCCCCTAACAGCACAGGTCCGATGAACAGAAACATCGCTTAGACTTGAGATTCCTCTAAAGCTGCATAGATACTAAACGGGAATACACAATGTGCCATATCGTCACTACCATGATTCGCGCTACGTGAGCTTCCTATGTAAAGAACCAAGCCGTATGGGCAGTGTTCGTAGTCACCCTGCCTAGTTAGAGCCAAAGAATGTGTGCACACTGTCGCCAATAAATAGAAAAATGCAGCTTAAGCAGTGACAATCTTGAAAGCCACGCAACGCCGTTTCTGCAGGAGAAGGAAGAGAAGACGTTTAGACCACACAGAAGGAACAACAAGGTCATGAGAAGCTAACAGAAGATGTGTATTACGAACCTGGGGAAACTCAGCGTTGTTGTCGTTGGGGTTGATCCACACAGACGCGTTCTGAGTCTTGGCCTTGAGGATCTTAATCTTAGCGGAATCAACTCCCATCTGGATGCACTGGTTGCTCAACTGCCTCAGCTTCCACTTAGGAATGGGACGGATGCCCAGACGGTCCGAGCGGTTAATGTACTTCTCGTATGACTTCTTACCGCCACGGGGACGGAAGAAGAAGTAGTTGTCGCAAAAGACCTTCTTCTGCTCACACGATAAGGTGGAATTTCAAGGGCGCGTTAGCATCTTCTTGGTCGGAACAAACGTTGAAAAGACTGAAAGTTTCTCAACTTACCTGGCCTACAACTTTGCACGTCGAGTTTCCGAGTGTAGTAGCTGTCTCGACGAAAAGGGACTGACCCCTGAAAGCAGAAAAGATGGCGTTCGATGGGGTTAAGATTCATCTTTTAATGCGAAGAGGAAGTGAAAATGTTTATGCTTGATGGAATTTGAAAGTAGGGAGAAATACGTACTTCCAGCGAAGGCCGGTGGTGACCACCTTCTCATCTCGCACAGACTTGAGCTTCAAGACGGGAACGGCCTTGTCATAGCCGTAGAAGTAGAAGTCGCATGACTGCAGTGGACTGGCGCATTGAGCAGACGCACAGATGGCCCAGCATCCTGAAACACAAATTCGTCAGTGAAGTCAAACACGGGGGACATGAAAGCTTACACAGCGTTTGAAGGGCTAGGAATGAGAGACTCACCGATGGCCGCAAGGGCCAGAAAGAGAGCCCTAGACATGGTGATGGTCAGAGAACTTGAACAGACGCGAATTAGGAGGTATTGGTTGGGGATGGTTGTTTGTGGGAGGTAGCTGCAATGATATGGTCAGATTCTCAATGCTGGGATGCTTTATGGATTGTTGAGAGAGCCCGAGCTGACCTGCTGCTTGATCGTTTTGGCGCAAAGGTTGAATCAGGTCGCGGGAAATGCGACGCGGTGACGCTGGTTGAAGCAGTTCGCTTGCTTTTGCTGTTGTTACCCCGCCAAATCTAGTTTTTTTTGCGGTCTGGTTCAGAAGTAAAACCTTTCTATGTTTGGCGTCCTTGTGAGGTTGTTTCAATCACTCCGAAAGCATTGTCAACTTCCCCTGACGTGTTCACACGAACGAAAAAGGAGCAATTGAAGGCACACATGCACACCGTGTGGACATGCTTTCAAGGAACTCCTAAATTTCAGACTTGGATTGTATGCACGTGCACCGAACAGCCACACACGGAAAATAAACATTCCGCAGGATCTGGTTTCTGGTTCAAGCCAATCCCACAGCCTTGTTTCCGGCCTTGTGCGCCAGACACGGAAAAACGCATTGTCTGTTCACTCCCAGGGGCTGACCGACCCACCACTACCCAAGTTTCGCGCAGCGCCACGGGGTTACACTCCCGCCACTTCGCCAATGCGTTTCGGTTCTGAGTTGCGCGCTCGCGTTGGCGGTGTGCCAGTTTGATTGCAAGGTGGAACCGTTTGGCGAGGTGGTGTGCGCAGTTTGCCGCCAGATCTTTCGCAAGGCGAATAGCTTCTGCGCACCCAACTGGCGAGCCAGAGGTCTCCCAAACGGGATCATTCAGCAATTAGCATAAGAAGTGATCAAATTGTAAAAAATACAGACCATATGAAACATGACGTCAACAATTGAACAGTATTACTTTTGTGAAATCAACCCTCAACCATTATAATCTTACAATATGATTTGAAACTAGCTCTGAACACATACAAGAATACACAATTTTCAGAGACCTGCGGCAACTACGTACAACAATTCTCACTTACCATGCCTTCCTGCCTGCAAACACAGTTGCTAACCAAAGACACGACACAGCGGCTACCCCGCCAGCAGCACCAAAACATAGAGGAACAGCCCACGTGTCGTTGCTTCTCCTTCCAGCCAAAGCATCCCCTTCCATTCCTCCACGAAAGCCTAGACCTCCCACTCTCACACGACGACCCAACACCCCGGCTACTCGAGACGATGACATGTTCACAGAAACCACAGCGGAAGATCCGGAAGCAGGGACGAAGTCAGATGCAGGAGCCGCCAAAGCAGCAGCAGCAGCAGCAGCAGCCGCGGCAAGGGTTCGAGGGCTGTCACCCTGAACTCGAGCGTGCTCATTGCCGGGGGGCGGAGAGATTACGCACTGCAGGCCTCGACAAGAACGCTCCTTTTCATTTGACGAAACTCCGACCGCGTTAGAACAGCCAGGCGCTTTGCCCTCCAAATCTTTCAGAAACCTCTCCTCCTTTCCCTTGCATTGCATGCCAGTTCCTGCCAATGAAATCAGATCTGAACCTCCTCCCAACTGGTGTAACTCCCCAGGGGCTCCTTCCATCACACTGCTGCTGCTGCTGCCACCAACGCCGCCGCTGCTGCCACCGCTGCTGGCGCCAATGCTGCTTGATTCATTCTTCATGCTGTTACCCGTGATGCTGTTGCTGCACCCGTTTTTCTGATTCCCTTCTCCTTCCCACCATGCACCTTCTCCACTGCAGTCACTACCATCTCTGCTCCTACCGTTGTCGCTGCTGTCACTACGATTGCCACTGCCACTGCCACTGCCACTGTCACTTGCACTACCAATGCTACTGCTACTGGTACTATTCCCAAAACAGCCAACCGAATTCTGCAGGTGCTTCCCATCCCTCCCCTCTCCACACCCACCGCTCTTCCCTTCCCCTTCTTCCCTCCTCCAGCTCTCCACCACAGCACCATGCACACTCTCTCCCACCACCCCACCACCTCCCCAATCGCTGTTCCCCTCACCACCCCGAATGAGAGTACCAGGCGTCACAGTAACAGGTGTGACAGAAGAGGGAGTGAGGAGGTTAGCGGCAGGGGTGGTGGTGGCTAGCAAGGTGTCTCTGACGAGCAGGAGTTGCAGCAGCTGCTGGTGCTGCAGCAGCATTGAGTAAACGGCTGATACTGGTAGCTCCACAGCAGACGCAGCAGCAGCAGCAGAAGAAGCAGCGGCTGCAGCAGCAGAAGCAGCGGCAGCAGAAGAAGCAGCAGATGCAGCAGCAGCAGGGTCTGCAACCAAAGAACCACCAGCAGGCCCAGCAGTAGCGCCAGCAGGGGAGGAGAGAGTACAGGTGCTAGGGTGAGATGGGAGGGAGTGAGGCAGGGCCGTTGTGTCAGGTTGTAGCACACACAGAGCGCCTTGGTTTGCTTCTCTCTGCTCATGCTGCACTCGCCGCAGGTCTTTATGCTGCAGCTGGTGCTGCTGCTGGTGAAACTGGCCGTGCAGCTCCTGCTGCTGCTGCTGCTGCTGCTGCCGTAACCTCTCCCTCACATGCACCGGAGTGCATGGCACAGAACCGGCAGTAGAGGCTACTGCAGCACAGCCCGCACCAGCAGCTGAGCCCGGGGTGTTGCAGAACAGAGCAGCGCACTGAGAACATGCACACGAAGAGACAGGGCTGATGGGAGCCGTGGCGAAAGCAGAGCCATGTGAGCCATGTGTGGCGTGTGTGGCATGTGAAGCGTGGGAGGCATGGGAGGTATGGGAGGCATGGGAGGCATGGGAGGCATGAGAACCATGAGAGCAGATGGAGGATACGGAGCAAAGTGGCGGCGGGGCGAGAGGAGGGCAGATGAGGCACCGGGTGCAGGAACCATGGTAAGGTACATGGTGCCGAGGCTGCAGACCAGATCCGTCATATTGAGGCTGAGACTCGTCCTGATACTGTGACTCAATTAAAGCTTCACACTGCTGGTGACAATGGTGCTGATTCTCTTGCTGGTGCTGCTGCTTCCGGTGCTGACGCTGGTGGTACTGCCTGGAGGTGTCATCATGGCTATGTAGCCGTGGTGAATCCACGTAACTCCCTCCTCCGGGCGTCATACAGCTTTCAGAACCCTGCAGCGCATCATGCCAGGGGCCATGGCTGAAGGTCCTGGTTAGACTCGGTGTCTCTCGCCTCTCCTGCCTGCCTCTGATGCAGCGGCTGCTGCTGGCGAAGCTGCTGTTGCTGATGCTGCTGCTGGACCGAGCCAGGCAATGCCCCCGCTGGCTCGGCACAGGCTGGTTCGGAAAGAGCTGGTTCGGCAGGAGGTGGTTTGGAAGTTGGCTCGGGAAGTGTGGCGTCTGCTTACCGCAGTGATCGTCCTGCGAAGTAAGTTCACCTGCCTCCCAGTAACCGCCTCTGCTGGAATTGTCCCAACGCTGCCAATCATGCCAATCACGTGAACCATGGCGTGCCACGCGCTTCCCCCTACTCTCACTCTCGCACCAGAGCTTCTGTTCTTCACTCTGCTCCCAGCAAGTAGGATTCCCGCAATGAGTCCCGCAAGCCTTCTCCCTCACGCCACGACAAGCAACGCCATCCCGGATACGGAAACCCCTCTCATCTCCGCACCCGTGGTACCCGCACACGACCTCCTTCTGTTCCCCGTCCTCCTCCCTCCACTCCTCCCCACCGCCGGCGCCGCCGTCACCTCCGCCACCGCCGCAAATAGTCCCCTCTCTCCGCCGCGTTCGTGTTCCCGCGGGGAGCGCCATCCCGCTGCTGTCTTCCGCGCCGTTGCCAGTTCTACTCCCCACCACGAACTGCGCGGAGATACCATCCGCCGCCTGCGCTTCGTCCTCACTCTCCGCGTCTTCCGCCCTCTCCTGCTCTTCCAGCTCCCGCTCCTCCTCTGCTTCCTCCACTCGCGCCGCTAGGCTCTCCATCTGCTCGTCGCGCGCCGCGAGCGCCTCTCTCAGCAGCGCCACCTCGTCTTTCAGAGACCGCTTCTCGCGCTCCGCCGTTGTCGCGCGGTGCCGCAGCGCTGCGATGGACTGATGCTGCTGCTCGACTACCGACACGAGCGACTCGTTCTCATCTTGAAGAGCCCGCGCTACTACTGGAGGAGAGTCCGTTAGAAAGGGATCCGTTAACGGAGTGTCCATATCGAGGTCGGTGATGCCGATAGCTGAAGTAGAAAAACCAGTGGAATCATCTTCAGCGGGATTTGCGGCGACAAATGCGGCTGACGGAAACGAAGAGGTTTCGCCATCCACGCCATGGAGCCACTCTGCGCGTCCCGAAGGAGAAGTCGTCTCCATAAGGCCTGGGTTCGATGCTGGGTTCGATGGCTTCAATGGCGGCACAAAGCTTGACGCCTACTAAGCACCAACTGCTACTAACTGCACCTAGTAATAGTGAGCAGCGACGAGGCGGGTCGGCTTGGGTTCCTCGCCTGCCCCTGCACGGAATTGGCGGTTGGCGATGAGCAAATCGCAGGAAAATGGCGTACAGAATATTCACTCTGTAGAAAAAAAAAACATGTGAATGAATGAATGAAGTGGATGACGTGAACAAAGTCGAATATCACGGGAGCGCGAATCGTGCAAGGTTGTCTTGGGAGATTTGCCGTTGATTAGTTTCGGAATGGACACTTTCCCCCATGGCCGGTCAGCTCAAGTCAACTTCTAATTACAGGCTCCACGGGGGCTCGCACTTGACAGTTAACGTCCGCCAGCCAGCACATGCGAGCAAGTGAAAGCAAATGGTGGAAGCACGAGCAGACGCACGTGAGAGGCATCAAATGCACCTTCCTGGTCTTCTCCACTCCCCTCTCCCGGTTTTTGCGCTTCCCACTACAGAGAGAATATATCACGAGGGAGGAACAACTCAGAATAGGCTTTCCTCTGGGCCAATCCGAGATGGAAATGATCAGGGTAGAAGCCAGCAAGGCACGGTTAAAACAGAAACAATTCAAGCGCAAGCTTTATTGCAGGTTCGGGGCGGACGAAGGTCAGGAAAGCTTGGTTTGTGGGGGTGGCAAGGGACCAGGCAAACTTCAAGGGTGAATGTGGTCTGGTTGTTCAGCGCAAAAAACAAGTTCCGTCTACCACATTTATCAAAATATGACGGAACATTACTGGCTTGAGCTGACTGGACAGTTTCCAGGCCAAACGAATTTATGGTCACAGAAAAAATAGAGATGATGTTCAAGTTGAGGGCATTGAGGGCAGGAAAACCTTCTCACTGGCCTATACTTGGTTCGGCACAGAGCTGTCCTCCAGGGGCGACGAACAGTTTTGACGCGATTCGTGGCTTGATGGGAGGTTGGCGGCGGGGGTGTTTGGTTGGGGGGGTTTTGGTATGGAAACGTGGCTCGCTAGATTTTTGGTGAGGGGAAGTTCCGAAATCATGCGGCCAAGGCACGAAATGATCATGCGAAGCGCCAAGACAGCAGCGGAGCGTGGTGGTTGCACATTTTTGGGTCTAACAATCGAACGGTTGATCGGTCTTCACGAAGCATCGACGGTTGTTAACATCATATGGGCCTAGTTTCCCGTTGTGGTGGTCCCTGTCTTTCTCCCAATGAGGTGGCTCAGATCTCCACCAGAGCATACGGTGAGCCAAAACTGCCGTTAGAATTTACACCAAAAAAATCCATAAATCAATTCTGGTACACGAATTTGTTAATTCATCACTAACTATTCAGAAATCTGCTAGAAGCAATAAACCCAACCATGCAGTCAGCGCAAGAATAGAACCAATGCAATTCTACCCTGCACAACAGTCGCATGGTTGGGGAAAAAGGCCAACCCCTTGAAGCTGGCCACACTTTAAGAAGTGAAAACCTGATGCAGGCAACATGGCCTGGCCCTGGTAGAGCAGTACAGGATCAGCCAGCAGTCAACACCAGAAAAGTGGTGAGGTGCTCAGGCATCTTCTTGCAGACCTCTAGAGCTTGAATAAATCAGGGCTCGCATGCGCAAGGAGCAGCGAAACAAGTGTAAGCCAGCTGAGGAAGGCATTACACCCTGAAGGGTTTCACCAAGAAGGTCGCCCTGGGAAAACATATCAGTTGCAGAGTAAATACTGCTGGGGGGTGGTGGTGAAAGCACGAGAAGGAGCTCCTCAGGGCAACTGAAGGGGAGAGACAGAAGCCAGCTGACGTAAACACTGCAGATAGGAGGCATAGCAGGCTGTTAGTAAGACATGACATGCATTGCGGTTACGTGAGGCTGTTGCAGCGCTGGAGCCTGGGTCCCTTGCTGCTGCGCCTCCACCTGCCTGTAGCCGATCCAAACACTCTCTGCTTGATGCTGCCCTGAGCTGTCTTGGCCTCACTGCTCAACCTGCTGGCTGCATGAGGTGCAGCGGTAGCATTGCTGCCAGCAGCGTGAGTGACACCAGCAGAAGCAGCAGCTGCTGCTGCTGCCACTGAGGTGGAGGAGGAGGACGAGAAGGACGATGACGGGGAGAAGAGAGCAGCAGAGCAGCGGCGCTTGATATTACGGAACAGGCCACTCAGCATCGTGCTGCTGCTAGCACCACCGCCGCCAGTGCTCTTACTGCCACCCCTACGACCATGCGCGGAAAACACCGAGTCTCTGCTCGGCGCTGGCAGCGGCAGCGGCACTGGCAGGACAGTCTTGGGTGAACCGGAGGCAGAGCCGCCTGCAGCATCAGCAGCCCCCCTCACTCCCTCCATCCTTAGCTGTCGTGTGCTGAGTCCATCGCTGCCACTCCTGCTGCTGTTGCTGTTGCTGGTGCTGATGCTGGCGCTTCCGCTGCTGTTGCCGCTGGTGCCGCTGCTGTTCCCGCTACTAGCGCTCGCGCTCTTCCCACCCTCGTTCCCGAAGTACCAAGGCAGCTCGTCTCCTCCCCCACTCCGCTGCTCCTCCCCTCCAGCTGCTGCTGCGCTCCCAGCACCAGCAGCAGCAACCGCCGGCGCAGCAGCAGCAGGAGGAGCAGTACCGTCCGCAGCACCGTCAGCGGCTGAATCACCAGCAGCACCAGCAGCAGCAGCATCGGCTGGAGCGTAGTCGTCGGTTTCTTCGAAGGTGAATTCGTAGAGCACCTGCTCGCCACCGTTGCCGTCGCCGATGCACGTCAGGTCGACCTCCATGATGCGCATGTGCTGCTCCTCCATGCGCTGACACGACTCCTCTATTTCTGTTCGAGTTGAAAAACAAGAACGACGGAGCGGCGGAGAGGAGAATGAGAAATGGCCTTACACGGACGGGAGGACGCAGGGACGAAGGGACAGAGAGAACGAAGAGAAGTAGTGGAAAGAACCAGCAAGTGAGCAGTGGCGGCGGGAATTGAACGGCGGCAGGAGACCCAGACGGGTCTCAGACTCACGAGTCCAGTTGAACGTCGCCGCAGGAGCAGGGGGTTCGAGCTCCAAGTCCTCGTTACAAGCAGCACCGCCGACAGGCCCGTCGTAGTAATACCCGGGACCGAGCCCGGCGGCGTCGCGGGTGTCCAGGCTGTCGATGTACGTGTCTAGAGCGTCTTCCGCCCCTGCACAGGTAAACGGTGAGGCAGAGAGCGAGAGGGAGAAAGGGAGAGAAAAAGAGTGAGGGAGAGAGAGAGAGAGAGAGGGGAAGACAGAGCGGGCTGTCGATGTACGTGTCTAGCGCGTCTTCCGCCCCTGTAACCACACGTGACGACACGTGGCGGCACGCAACGAGAACAATAGAGACACGTCATGGAATGTCTGGTTGGGTGACCGACGGACATCGACTATTCGAGGTGACGAGACGCGACAAAAGGAGGCGCGACGCGACGACGCCGACGCGACGAGACGAGACGAGACCCAGCGGAAAGGTCACCGGATAACATGCTCACATTCGCCTTCGTTCTCCTCCGCGATTCCGTCGTAGTAATCGTCGCCGGACGCAAACGCGCCGCCGCCCCAGCGGCTCGCAGCGGCGGGGTAGTAGCGGTCCGACTGCGTGAAGTCCGGGCGGTAGATGGACTGCGCGGGGAACATCCGCGCGGCGAGGGGCGCGGGGAAGGGAGCCACCGGAAGCGCGGAGTGCTGGGAGGAGAACGACTGGGGGAGAAACTCCGCCGCGGACGGATGCATGTCCGCCCCCCAGACGCCGCTGCTGCCGGTCGCGGTGTTTGCGGCGGAAGAAGCAGGAGGAGCCGCAGCAGTAGAAACAGAAGAGGATGTACTAGACGAAGCGCTTAGGGAAGAAGGCGGGAGGTGCGGCGCGCGGAATTGGCCACTCTGGCCGTTTTCAGAACCCATGGGCGGAGGTGGATGTAAGTGAAGTCGAAGCACGAAGAGCGGGGATGGGAGGACTGAGACGTGCTGGGCTCGTGCGGGCTAATACTAGACCGCGAAAACTGATGCCGAGAGATTTGATGCCTCGAGAAATGACGCTGCCTAAGGACTCGCGCGAGAAGGTCAGCGTGGTTCCCAGAGCGGAGAGGTAGACAGCTTTCGGTGCTCTTTTCTCGGTAAGTCGCGAGCGTCGATGGGGCCGTGAAGTGCGGGAGGGTTGACACTGCGGGGATGGTAATTGGCGCGGAGCTTTGCTGACAGGCGGTGCGGTGCTAACTAGAAGTGCGGCAGGGTGAAGCGACTAGAATTGATAGACCAGGACGGAGGAGACGCGTGAGCGAGACAATTCAGCCAGGATGGGGAGGACAGAAGGCTGGACGGGTTGACTGAGGAAAAAACGCTGGTCATAAGCAGTGGGTTGTGGGATGAAAGAAAGTAAGCAACGAGAATGATCGAGAAGCTAACAGCGTTCGGTGGTTGTACAAGGTTGGTTGAGCTGACTACTACCTAACCTCACTCCAGCACACACATTGCCTCTTCGTACACAAAAGAGCACAATGCGCACCTCCGTCGTGCACACGAGGAAAACTGGTTGTGGAACCCGTTGCGCCAGCACACGCACGAGGTGGCCCTGATGCGTGGAATGGCCGTGGGAAAAACGAAAGACGTCCCTCGGTGGCGCGGCGAACAAACGAGCTCGAGAGCACCACCTACTGGCTGACAGACAGTTCCCGAATGTGCGGGCGCGCACACAGATCGTGGTGTTTAGGACTAGATCCGCTGGGGGCTCAGGTTCCCTCTGCAATGAGCGTGGGAATTTCAGTGTACACGATCGAAGTGCCTTCCCAAAAGGTTTTCCATTGACCGAACCCCGAACGGTTTCGAACATACCTGAAACAAGCTGTGAATGTACAGTAAAAGAGAAACGCCAAAATATCGCTCAGAAATCAGCAAATGGAGCGGGTCAGACAAGCCGCAAACAGCTTTTTTTCCCAGAACACCATCGTTTCCGTCCGTCCTCGTTCAAGACACCTCTGATCTACGGCAGAGAAAAGCAGACAAACGAAGCAGTGACAGCATTTTGCCAGCAGGGAGGGGTAAACCAGCGCACATACGGCGAATCTGCGGGCGGTGCGGCAAACTTTGGCTGACTTCCACGGAGAAAATGGAAGTGAAGTGACTGCGGCGGTTCGCCCGAGGCCCCAGATGAAGCGCCACTAGAATAGGGATACGTGGCAATGGTTGGTGGATCCTCGCCGCAGATGAAAAGTGTTTGGTGCCACGTGCGACTAACCTCATCCCGAAGTTTGCTGCGCTGGACACACAGGTCGGCCAGCCCATCAGGCGGAAGTGATGGCGATTTTTGTCCATGGGAAGGACGTTCGAGATGAACAAATTCGGCATTTAATGTGAAGCATTACGTGGCAGTGTTCGATTACCATTCGCGCGCTTTTTCTTTCGAATTAAATGCGAACCAAATTTTAGGTGACTGTAAGGAAAATTCCTTTTCCTTACTTCGCATCCCTGCTCAACGCTTACATAACTCTAGCACCACATTCAGCACCGTTACCACTCGCCGCCCTCGCATCGACAATCCGCCCGCCACCTTCGCACATCGCACCCCGACCTCACGGCTCGGCGGGTAACCCGCGCTACGGGCCTCCGCTTCGACACTTTTCCCAACCTCAGTCCCAGGCCCGTCGCGCGAAAAGCACAGTCCATTACCGTTACCACTGTAGTTTCACTATATATTCTTCGCTCATGCCTTCGCTCATTGTACTCTTGCTTCGATAGTGCAATTCTCGTTCGTTCACTCAATTGCACTCGTAACAGTGATGCATAACTTGTTTATACCTTGTGACTTCTGGACTGTGGCACACGTACATCTGTTACGGATGCAATAAACCGAAGTAGCGAGAATTGCACTAAGGTGTCAAACGAGTACAAAATGTGAGTGAAGGCATGAGCGAACATTTATACACGAAAGCTGCAAACGGTGACGCGGTGCGTGCGAGCTAGCTAGTGCTACGCTTGAAGCGAGGCTCGGGCTAGTCCCTAAGCGTAGGCCGACACGGCCAGGCCAGCAGTGCGAGGTTTGGTGAAACAGTGCGCGCGAGTCAGCGAAGCCCCGTTAGCAATAACGGGAGAACAACGGCTACTGCTGTACACGATGTTGCATGGCGCGCTAAGGAATATCGAGAAAATTCCTTACACTAACCCCCCGCCCCCCCTCAAGAAGCCCCCTTCGCTACGCGAGTACGTGTATATCGCGGAAACCACGACTCCTCATGTACACTTGCAGGGCAGGGTGGTTTTCGATGTTGGTCACGGGCACCCAGCTATCCTTAGTTGGCGTGCGATCCTGTTAAAATTGGAAGAGAGAAGAGGGTTGCACTAGCAAGAATTGGGATACAAATAGCAAACCCTAGAAGGGTTGTACTCGCTATAGAGCACCCCACTACAGGCTAGAGCATAAGATAACATTCTAACACACCCCCATAGCCAAAGTGAGGTGTAATCAGCAGAGCAAGCAGGCATAGAACAAGCTCAGGGTGGATCACAATGTCACCACACATTCTGAGCACAAGTTCAAGAAACAATAGATGAAAGTTCACAATATGAGCAAAGCTAGTGGTAGTCACAACAGGCAAGTGAGGAGGAGGAGAGAGAGTGAGAGGAGAGGAGATAGGAGGCGACGGCTGAAGCTGCAGACACACGGGCAACAGGAGGCAGACTGGCACAGCGGCTACCGGGCGAAGTCCCCGGAATACTGGAGTAACTGGCCCCGCGGCTAAAGTAGCGGCAGACGAGCAACGGACCCACGGGCGGCTGGCACAGCTGGCTACGACTGGGCTACCGGGCGAAGTCCCCGGAATACAGGTGCTGCTGGCGACACGACGGCAACCTCCATGCAGCTTCCCCAAACTGTCCCACTCCCCCTGGCACACACCCGCTGCTACACCGCTAGCTCCACTCCCACTCACCCCCCTTAAACCCTAAACCCCAGTCTCCCACGCATCCACCCCCCTCAACGACAGCTGCAGCAGTGGGAGACGAAGGAGGAGGAGGAGCAAAGGGAGGAATGCACAACTGCCACCCCCATACTCGCCACCCCTTACTCGCCACCCCCCAAACCCTAACACCGGTAGGGCGGGATGGCGGGTAGGGAGGGTACGGAGGAAGGGGGGGGGGGGACCGACGCGCGGCCTCCCAGGGCGCCAAAACAGGCGGCAGTGTCAGAATGTTATTTGTCTAGCCTGCAGTGGGGTGCTCAATACTGAGTACAACCCCTTAGGGTTTTCTATTTGTGTGTCCTGCTGCTTGCTAGTGCTCCCATCATTCCTTGCCTCTATCTCAACATGGTATCGAGCAGGTTCCCTAGTGGGAACTGTTCCTAGGGCCCACCTACTATTCCGTCCTGCCCGGAGCGCGCTCTGCCCTAGCCCGAGTCGCGCTGGGCCTTTTTTTTCCTTTGGCGGCCCGATCGCGTCGAGCCGCCCGCGAAATTTTGACGCGCCACCTACGCGGCCTCGTCGCGCCGCCCCTAGACGGCCGCGCCGCGTCGCGCGTGCCGCCCTCCAGTCGCGCGCCGCCCCCCTCTGACCCTCGCGACGCCGGCGCCGTCTCTGACGGCCCCGCGATCGCCTGCGACGGCCCCGCCGTCCCCTCTACCGGCCCCTCCGCTGCGCTTGACGGCCCCGCCGTCCCCTCTGCCGGCCCCGCCGCTGCACCCGACGGCCCCGCTGTCCCCTCTACCGGCCCCGCCGCTGCTTCAGACGGCCCCGCCGCTGCACCTGACGGCCCCGCCGTCCCCTCTGACGGCCTCGCCGCTGCACCTAACGGCCCCGCCGTCCCCTCTGACGGCCCCGCCACTGCACCTACCGGCCCCGCCGCTACCCCTGACGGCCCCGCTGCTACATCTACAGGCCCCGCCGTCTCACCTGCCGGCCCCGCTGCTGTACCTGACGGCCCCGCCGCTTCACCTACCGGCCCCGCCACTACCCCTAACGGCCCCGCAGCTGCATCTCCCAGCCCCGCCGCCCCAGCAACTGCGCCGCCCCAGCAGCCGAGCCGCCCCAGCAGCCGAGCCGCCCCAGCAGCCGAGCCGCCCCAGCAGCCGAGCCGCCCCAGCAGCTGAGCCGCCCGAGCCGCCCGAGCCGCCGAGCCGCCCGAGCCGCCCAGCAGCCGAGCCGCCGAGCCGCCCGAGCCGCCGGAGCCGCCCGAGCCGCCCGAGCCGCCCGAGCCGCCTGCACTGCCCTGTCTGGTGAGCACTGAGCTTTACTCTGCGCACTGCCCTCACCCTACTACTGTCATGGCTACCCCCAGTGTCCTCACCTTTGACGCTGAGGGCAGAGCCATAGACTTTGACGTGTGGGTAGACGACCTACTGCTTTTCCTACAGTGCGACAGAGCTGACGACCTCTCTCTCTTTGATCTCACTTCTGGTGCCTCTCCCGCCCCTGCTGCTACTGAGGATGCCACTGTTCGCTCAGTGTGGGCCACACGCGATGCTGCTGCACGTCTTGCTGTGCGTCGCCACCTCCCTCCCTCTGAGCGTGCACACTTTGGGTCGTACAAGAGTGCTCAGACCTTGTACGACGCCGTTATTGCACGCTACTCCACCCCTGCCACTGCTGCACTGAGCCGCCTCATGCTACCGTACCTCTTTCCCGACCTTGCTTCTTTTGCCACAGTCGCCGACCTCATTACCCACCTGCGCACTAGTGACGCTCGCTTCCGCGCTGCGCTTCCTGCTGAGTTATGCGCCAAGAACCCCCCCCCCAAGTACTTCACTCTCTACTACATTGTCACCCGCCTCCCTGACTCCCTCCGCGGAGTCAGGGACGACTTACTCTCAGTCTGCCCCACCACTCTCACTGTTAACTTCCTCGAGAAGTCCCTCCTAGCAGCCGAGAAGAGCATTCTCGCTGTAGGGGCCTCTCGTGGTGACCCGTGCACCCCCA